AATTTTCTTACCCATTATTATATTTTAATTAATTAATTAAAATTCTCTCCTAATTTTAACTAATATTTCGTCTTAACGTGTAACCCATATTTGCATTTACAAAAATATTATATTCATAAATCTGTAATTACCCAAAGTCTTATACAATTATATTTTAAGTGGAGAATCAAACTGAAAACCATATGCATGATGAGATAAGAAGAAATTAAAATAAAATTAATGATTTTTGTGTTTGTCATGTCATTAATTTTAATTTAGAGTGCATAAGATTTTATTTTATCAGCTATGTTTAAAGTTAGTAGTAATGTGAATTGGTAAATTAAATATTGGGGCATTTTACAAAGTTTCCATTTTCAAAATAATGTAGCGGTTGACATGTATAGATAAAATATTTGTATACAATTAATCTATATACGAAGCTTGTCTAACAAAAAAAAATAGTTGGCGAAAATAACTTATACATAATGTCAATTGTCATATTAATATGTGAAAAAAAATGCATGTACATACATATATATATATATATATATATACATGGTGGTAATTCTCTGTAATGATTATATGTACTTTTAGTTATCAAGATTTGGAGGTAATTACTTGTTATAAGCTTAACAAAAATCAGAATTAATTAGGAAACAAATTAATCTATTAAATGTTTGAGATATGCTTAACCACAGATCCAATAAAACTTCCGTTACAAAAATTACAAAATTAATTAAAATTTGCAATTAATTAACATGTTAATAATTAAGCAGGGACACGTGACATATATCCTGCTTACCAATTGACACCGGCTCTATATAAAGCCGTCATCCCCATCTCCTTCCTCTCAAACACCAAACCTGCGGAAAACCAGCTCAGCCCCCTGTAAAATCAACTATGGCACAAACACAAAACCAACCAAAAACGCCCCACATAGCAATTGTACCGAGTCCTGGAATGGGTCACCTGATCCCTCTCGTTGAGTTCGCTAAGCGACTCGTTTCTTGCCACCCCGAGTTTTCCATCACCTTCGTCATCCCCACCTCTGGCGCTCCCGCAAAGGCCCAGGAATCTACCCTCGAATCTCTCCCTAGCTCAATGGACTACACTTTTCTCCCTCCAGTTGATCTCAGCGACATCCCTGAAGATACAAAAATCGAGAGCATAATCTGCCTCACTATGGCTCGCTCAGTTCCCGCTCTACGCGACTCCTTCAAGTCGATGATTGCAACCAAGTCGGTGGTGGCCGTGGTCGTTGATCTCTTTGGAGCGGACGTGTTCGACGCAGCCAAAGATTTCAACATCTCGCCGTACATT